GGCTGGTTGAAATAGAACTCACGGCGTTGGGAAAAGTTCAATGAATATCTAAATCAGTCCGACTTTTTTGAATAACCGTAGAAAACTAGATAGTCAATTTATGATAGCATTGGTCTGAATCGATACGTATTATTGAACATTGCATCATAGCATACAAATATAAACACAGGTAGGTAAGGGAGCGGCCCCAAATATTCTCTCCGAGCAGCCGCAGAATGACAAAAGATTCAAAATTATCTATTGTTGCATATGTTCACGTTTTAAGCAATTTCAACTCCCAGTTTTGTCATCTGCGTTTATTTCCACGTATATGCTAATACATAGAAACACAACCTCTCACTTACATCAGTAATCACAATCGTGAAACTGCGAAAGAACTAAAATTTGTTTTGATATCAATCCCTCCTCACTATTGATTTAGGGCGACTGCGTAATTATTTAGAAATGTGACTTTTTGAAATATGTATTAAAAATTTGCTTTCTTTTAACCAGTTCGTTTTTTCATTGCCCTTCTTGTAAATGGCCGAACGTATGGCGAAAATTTTACTCGATAGGTGTTTCAATGCTCGGAGCAAAACCGTGTCGAAATGTTCGTTTTTAGCGCATTTTCTAAGCAAAGTTGGGTGGCTATGGGCAGCACTTTCTTGTCCGTCCGTCTGTCGTCTGTCTGTCTGTCCCAGGCTTAACTACTCCTACAGTGTTTAAGATATTTTAGTTCGTTCTTTTTCCATTCGGTAGTGGTATAGCTCTGGCATTTGAGCCAAGGAAAAATTTGAACGACTAAACTGGCGTATGTCGCAGGCTGCGCAACGTCAACTTTCTTATTTTGTGGGATATTTGTCTGATAATCTTACCTCACAGATGCTTTTTAAGTAAAAGCTAAAAGCAAACGTATTCATATTGTAATTAATAATAACAATGTATATACGTGCTTTGCAAAACAAAATATACTTGCATTAGTCCAAAAACAACAAAACCATCAAAACATTTAAAGATAACTATTAGATAAGTATTGCATGCCCAGAATGCCAATTATCAACTGTCTTATTTACCAAAAGATATCTTTTGAAATTTGAATGAACAGAATGTTTCTGTTAAAGGAGACATATATGATATTGCCAAATTAGATTGCGCATGCGCAGTCAGTGCTATCATTCTATTCATGAAGAATATTTCTTTGGAAATTTAACCAGAAATGCCTTCCAGTATATAAAAACATATCAACATGTAGTAAAAGTCAAGAACTACAAATTCATTAGCAAAGCAAACACATCGCCATAGTAAAAATAAATGAATGCATAGCACTGTAAATGTCAACTTTTTCAACTTATGACTCTCTCTCTAAAGTTTAGGCATAGAAGGCTTCTAGTAAAAACAAGCATCGCATATAAATAGCATGCGCGAAACTGCGCACGTCACAATTTTTTATTTATGGAGATATTCCTTTGAAATTTTAACGTATATGTGCGTTTAGTAAAGAAAAAACATAGTGCCATACATATGGCCTATGTTTTCTAACAAACTACTGGTCCTTCTTTCCTGTCCCTCTTAATGCAAGTACGGGTGGAGGGGAGGGGGAGTAGTTTTATCGGTATATCCTCTTATACGTCAAGAACGGATCGTCGAAAAGAGAGTATCACAAAGGGCGATGAGAGGTCTGCAAGAAATATATGGCATTTGGTGAGTCAAAACAAAAGCTATTTCGGTTTAAAAAAGCGCTTTATCTGCACAAGATTGTGCACGCAACAATTATACTTTGTTATTAATCTTAAAAAAACGCTAAAAATTATATTTGTCATGTTGTCTTTGCCATTTGGATATAATGGATTTATATAAATAGATGCTGATACAATAATTTTCAACGTGAAATTAAGCTTTTTGCAGACATGTGGTCCCTAAATTCTTTACACAATTTTCAGTCCACAAATTGAGGTCCTGGTTTACGGCCATGCCATTTAGCCGTAGGAGTTGCTTCCTAAACCTGTTTGCGAATGAAGAGAATTGCAAGATGTTTCCTGGAAGGCAGTTCCTTTGAGAATTTATATTAGTTTTATAAATCGTAGTTTATTGTCAGCAATCGCCTGCAAATCCCAATCGGACGCAAACGATAAGTATCACTTGCGTTATCGTCTATATAAATTGTGGAATTTGCATGGGATAATAGACATACAATGCATAAAAAGAGGTCCATATGGACCCTCTGAGGACATCCAAAGTTCAATTCTCTAAACTAGCAACACTCCTGTCCATGTGTTGACCGCCCTGCATTCGAATTTGAAAAGATAATTATGGAAGAGGTCTACAGCTCGTTGTGACAATCTATAAAAATGCAACATCTCTAATTTTTAGAAAGCCTTAACTAAAACCAAGTAAGAATCAAAAATGTCATCGGCTTTCAATTGACCTCATCTGTGACTTCAGTAGTCTGTTTGGATTGCTCATGGGAAGTATAATTAAACTTGTTTAAATGCGAACGAAGTTGCTCATATCCATATCCTCGTCCAGTCCTTTGAAATGTGGGCCATTCTTTCCACAGGGTTTATCAACTTTGGGAATAGGGGTGATAAACGCCACAAATCCGAACACAAATCTCGTAAATGCAGAAGTTGTATATGGAGTGATTTATTTTTGGCAGAATTTTGTTTGAAAGTTTGTGTTTTGGGTTCATCAGCGTAAAAGTACATGTATGTACATTTAGGTGGTTGTCCTAATTGTGGATGATTTGAACTCATTTAAATTAGGGCGGCGTATTTCTTCCCACAAAACTGTTTTCCTTTGAAACGTTGAACCTCAAGTTTTCAGTGCGTCAGTGCATTAATAGTGTTTTCTCTTGTTTTAATGGGCAGAGGTCGCCCCTATTGGTCAGGAAGGTATCTTCTGATAACACTCATTTTAACGACTGGTTTATCTTACAAATCTGATTTCCCCTGTGGGGAAAAAGAAAAATTATCGTTTGTGAACACCCCTATCAATTGCTTCATTATGACGGGTGCAGTTTTAATATAACCAATCAGTCAATTAATGTCCAGACATCTTAAGTTCCCATTCGCGGGCGTGTCTTCTTAGGAATCCAGAGGAAGGGGAAGATTTGAAAAAAGAGGGATCGCGGTTTGTACGTGGAGCTGATAGCACGTACATCGAGAGATTCGCGGTTTGCTACGTCGTGAGTTGCGCACGGCCTTTAGAAAAAATAGAATTCGCGGGTGTATGCACGGTTGTTAAAGGGTAGTTTACAACCACAATCAAAATAATTGTAGAGAAAATCTAAGATCAAAATTTCAAAACCGGATGTTTACACGATGGAGTAGTTTTCAAATTTATTAACGTGAAAGTTGAAAGCAGGAACATGTGACGTTGCATCCCGACGTCGTGTGCGGCGGCCGGATACCAGCAGTCCAACGCTGTCAGTCTTTCATATTGTTGTCGCTTCCTTTGAAAAAAAACAAGAAAACCTTACTGAAGTATCATCGAACATATTCCTCATATAAATTTGAATATTTGTAAAAATATTCGTACCCAGCTCAGATTGGCATACCTAGTCTTCAGAGGGTTTGGTGATTTGATTGTTCTTCTTGATTGTTGCATATGTTTGATGTTGAACGTGTTTCTCCATACGAAATTGATCGTTTACAAGCACAGATAAGCAATCAGACACAAATCTTACTTTCTATAGATAAGTGATGGCGTTTTGTAGCTTTTAATTAGGGCCTTTTTTCCTGTGAGATGTAAAGAAGGGATTGGCATAAGTTACCTTCTCTAAACTTTATCTGATAGGTACAGGGTTCCTTTCCTTCTTGTATCTTCAATAAAAATTCATATTTAAAGTGACAACTGCAACACGACGTGACTTATGACCTACTATATCAAGCGTTTTTCTAATTTTCCAGACTTTATTTCTGACACGGGTCCTTCTTTTCTAGGGAAAATGCAATGGAAACATTGCTATTTTCAAAATTATTTGCAGGGGAAAACAACAAATGTAGATACTGGTGATCTAAACATCTAACAATTTAGTAACGACATAAATACTAATGAAACCCTTTGACTTAATTCATTCATTCAAATGTATCAGATATATAATACTACCCAAACTAGAAGTTTTCACCAACAATTAATTACACCAGCAGTTCTCAATAGGATTATGTTATCAGCAAGCGTACCTCATATTTAAAACAAAAATTTTGACCCGGAATATCTGACTCATTCATTGTCAAACTCGTTAATAGTCGTTGCTTCTTGCGGATTAATTAAGAACACACCAACGACTATTACCTCACTACGTATAGAATAATAGAGAACGGTTCTCTTCTAGATTTCAAGGAACTGCTTCGCAGAATTCCAATTTAAAAATCAATAATCTAACGTCAATCGCCTATTTGACAAGATTGTCTAGGAACGTTGCTTTGTGCGTGTCGATATTGCGATGTCCAGAAGAAAAAGGAATATTCCAACTCTAATAAAGGTGATAGAATTCCTTCTCTATTAGATTTGATCAAAAAAGGCAAACTTTTGCAGAATTTAAATTTGCTAAAGATATACGACGAATCTTATTAAACGATAACCAAACCTTAAAAAAGAGAATAAAACATCAATAATATTGGAAAAAGAAAAATTATTACAAAAATTTAATCAACAATCTCATCTAAAAAAAAAAAAACTAATGCTGGACTTAGTTAACAAGTCAATGTAAACAAACGAATACAAAATAAAAAAATAAATTATAAGAATAAACTTTAACTGTTCGAATTGATATGGCTGCAGCTTTTGGCCAATATTATCAAACAGAATTTCAATAAAATTATGATCATTTTGGGTTAGTAATTTAATAAGAAATGTACGAATAAGTGAATCTGCACTCAATCAATGTTTTTTACATCAGTCTCAAAGTGACGAAGTTTAATCGAATAATAGTTAGTCTGCCAAATAAAACTAACTGGTTAGAACGGTTACCTGTAAGCGCAATCAAGTATGTAAAGAATTGATTGCCCTCATATTACGAACATCATATTAAATTGTTCAATTAAGGAGGGCCAATTTCCCATCAGCCTTTAAAATTGGCCTCCGTGAACTTTACTACAATAAAAAAGTGGAACCCTAGCGATGTCGCAAATATCGCCGATTGCTTTTTATAGTACAGTTTCTCAAAAATAATAGAAAAGGTCGGTGGCAAAACGGATTTATCGTATTAAACAAATTTCAACTAATAACAATGGTCAGCAACGGTTTAAAATGGCTTGTTCAACAGAATCAAGTATTGCGAATACATACAGTTCTGTGACACAGTAAATTAGATGTCGTAGTGAATACGTGTGTCTATCTTTTCATTATATCTTCGAGCTTTGACAACTGTAAATAAAGCATTGTATCCGACAGATTATAACCTTGGAATCGAGGATCCATTAAACAACTGGTTCGTTGTCATTTTTGAGAAAACGAAGAATTATGTAGCTGTCAACAAGCTTTCGGATGAATTAAGTTAGATTTAGAAACTCCACAAGGTAGCGTTTTGGGACCACTTATCTTTCTCTTATACATCAATGATCTTCCTAATTTTATTACACATGGTAAATTGCTCATATATGCTGACGATACGTGTATGATCATATTTGACCCTACAACGGCTAATCTAATAAAGAAAATTAACGCATGTTGGAGTGCATTTTCAAATTGGTGCTTTAGGAATTATCTAATAATTAATCCTGCAAAAACATTGATTATTGAACATCACAGCATGCGAAAAAAATCATCTTTTCACCAGTTTTCTTTTGACAAGAGTATAGTCTATACGTCTACATCAGTAGAGTTTCTGGGAATTACATGCGATAGTGGGCTCTCCTGGGACACTCATATCAACAACGTCTGCAACAAATTAATTACTTATTGACCACGTTAAAATCAATGCTGGATACTGAAACACTTTTAAATGTTTATTATGCATATGGATATTCAGCTATAGCGTATAGAATTATAGTATGGTGGCAGGGTCGAGATGTTCAAAGGGTTTTTGTATTACAAAAAAGGATAGTAAAATTGATCTTTGGTCTTAGTGGGAGAACATCGTGCCGTGAATTCTTCAAAAGCAAAAAAATATTGACCGTGGCATCTATATACCTCCTCAAACTACTATGTCACATTCACTTAAATAAGCACAACCTTCTGAGGAATTCTGACATTCATAGTTATAACACCAGACACAAAACCGATTTTGTAAACTTTAAAGTGAAGAACAGTTATTGTACTAAATCACCAAATCACGCCGGTGTAAATTTCTTTAATAAGCTTCCAAGTGATCTGAAGACTATTCAAAATAAATTTATATTTAAGCGAAAGTTAAAAACGTTGCTATTCAATCATTGCTTCTACACTGTGAAAGAATTCCTCACTCTTACTGCACATCCTTAGTCTTAGTGTTCTTGTGTTTGTGTTTAATATTGTTCCATAGTGATCATTAATGGCTTTAATTTTTATGTATATTTTAATAGTTGTTTGTTTGTTTCATGTTATGTTTATATATACACATACACACACATTGTAAGTACCAAAGTAATTTTAAGACGAGTGCAAAAATTACTATGTAATTACTTAGCACAATAAATAAAATGAAAAAAATGAAATGCATGTTTGAAAATAATGCAGATCACTGACTACCAGTCTCAAATTAACACGTCAAACGTCATCGAATCCATATACGTCACAACGACCGTTTTTTACGTTCGACACCTTACCAAATGGTACCGCAAGTCGCTACGCCGTTTCGTTATTAAATAATAACGAAACGGCGTAGCGACTTGCGGTTTTCACCTTTACTCTTAGATATTTTCAATCTATCTTTAGACGAAAACATGAAATTTGGGTATACTGCCCCTTTAACACATGCCTCAAAAAACGGGTCGTTTTTTAGGCGAACAGATTTTTGTTTAGTATTTGAAATTAGTGAAGTGAAGTCGCGGTTTTGCATAGCCCATTTTCGTTTCCAATCTCGTGCCTTTGTGCACCCCAAGTTTAGACAGTGTCTTTCCAGAAGAAGGATAATTTTGGATATCAGTGTTCCTATTTTGGATGCAGTATTATTTTGGATGCAGTGCCATTTTGGATATCAGTGCTGCAATTTTTGGATTACTGTGCCCGAATAAAGTTTATTAGTTCACGATCACTCGACAGATAGGAATTGAATCGAGGAAATTATTATTTAGCTCATCTACGTTAGTTAAATGTTCAGGCTTTAGATTTACTAATATTAAGCTTTTTGATTTCAGATCATGCAAGATTTGAACTCATATTTGGGAATTTAATTTTGTAGTAAGTCTTTCCACGAATGACACTAATGACAGCACTATTTATAGCATTTCGTAGCTGTTTATATAATGCCAATGAACAGGGTAACTTGCTTATAGCGATGCATTGCGAAGAAACTATGAGTATGGTAAATCAAGGTTTACGTTAACGAGTGAGGTTAACTGCCGAAGCGTAGCTGAGGCAGGAATTTGAAACAAGTAACTTAAACTGATTTAACATACAAATATAATGTAAAACATTTTATTTGTTACTCAGTTGTAAACGTTGATTAACAAGACAAAAGCAAAAGGGTAAACGTCATCTTTAAACGCTACTGACTTGTAAAACTGACAGCTGACGTGTAAAAATTTGACAAGTTAGTAATCTAGTAATTTATAATAATAATAATAATAATAATAGTCATTTATTGGATAACGTACAGAGAAACAATACATAATTCTAGTGAATATTAAACTCATTTTATTATACGTTATACCAAAAGGGCGAAGTTCAGATATGTAGTACAAACTACAATCTGTTCTACCACTTAACCCTTTTAATAATTTATTGTGCTAAGTCAGATAATGGCAAATAATTATTCAACATAGAACCTAGTGAGTGTACTTATCCGAATATGGAAAGAAAAAAAAATGACAGTGATAATATTTTTTTTTTTTTTAACACAGAATAAAACTGAAAATACCGAAACTGAAAATAAAAAATAAAATTAAACATATTATCTCAAGTGTGTTTGTTGCTGCTCAAGAAGTTTTAATCTAAGGTTTTCTCTGAAGCGTTTTTGGGAACAGGAGTGTAAATGACAGGAAAGGGAGTTGTAGATTTTCGGGACATTGTAGCTAAAAGACCTTTGATAAAGGACAGTTTGATGTTTAGGAATTGATATAAGGTGCTTTGTTCTAGTATTAAGATTATGTAAATTATGTCTAAATTGAATTTTTTCGTACAGATAGGGAGGAAATTTATTGGAAATAATTTTATGAATAAAACATGCGTGGTTTAGCTTTCTACGATTGGACATATTGAGCCACTTAATTTCGACCAATTTATGCGATATTCTATTGTATTTTCTCAGGCCAAATATTAGCCGAAGACAGGAATTTTGCACACGCTGAACTCTTCCGACGTCAAAGGCATCCAAACATGGGCCATATACATTGTCGCAGTAAGTAAATTGAGACAAAACTAGAGATTCGCATAGCATAATCTTAAGTTTACGGTTTAAAACATGCCTATTGTTAAATATAGTTTTTAACTTTAAGTATGCTATGCGTAAAAGTTCCGACACATGCTTCTTAAATCGTAATGTACTGTCAATTGTCAAGCCCAGGTTTTTGACGCTATCAACATTCGGAAGGAGCGACTCCCCAATTTTTACATTAAGCTGTGGCGCATTCACGTTACGTGCTTTAGTTCTACCAAACAACATCACGAAGCTTTTGTGCGAATTTATTTTTAGCCCGTGCCTCTCCGAAACAACTATCAAATTTTCTAGATCTGCATTCACATTGGTACATGCCTTTTCTAATGCGTGTGCCGGAAATTCGTAAAATAATTGCGTGTCGTCAGCATATAGGTGATACCCACAGTGTTGCAGTACACTCACCATATCCAAGGTGTAGATAATGTATAGAAGAGGCCCTAGAATAGATCCCTGAGGGACACCAAGTACCACCGGACGGGTGTCAGAGGCATCGCCATCCAGCATAACATATTGACTTCGGCCCGATATACAGGGTGTCCCTAAAAGGTCTGTACAACGCGCTACCAGGGGTTCTTGGTATCAAAATAGGACGATTTAAACCAACTTACCTCTATCCAAAAGTGCCTCGGTAAGGCGCTATCTGCCGCCAAAGATTTAAAAAAAAAATCGTTATTTTTATTTTATCGGAAAATGGTTTTGCCGATTAAAATGAAATTCGGGATGTGAATGTCTAATGTAAAAAGGGTCTTTGTGATATCATCGTTTTGATTGTAGTTGCTATGTAGGTGGTAAAATACTGACCATCCACATCTGAAGAGGTCTAAAACTTTTTAACTACATTTTGACGGTTCTGAATTTTTAGACACTGATAGACAGTTTACTTGCAAGCATTTTTTGTCTCTTGATGAATATCGCTATCTGTGATGGTTTACGAAAAAAAAAAAAATTTAGGCATGATGAATGGCATGCACCATACATGCGATTGTTTCTAAAAAAAATCAGAAGATGGCTGTGAAACCTGAGAGTGGCGTAACGTTTGTTTGTTGTTTCTTAAACTTGAACAATTTACGTTTTGCTTGAAGACTTAAAATTTCATTGTTAAAATTGTAATATGAGCTTTCAATACAGTAACGCAGAGTTAACTGATATGCTATTAGTGTTTGGATACTGTCGTGGAAATGGTCGCCAATGCGTTAGGGAGTATACTCACAGGTTTCCAAATCGTCATAGCCTACTTCTTGCTTGCACTTATGGTTTTTGAGGAACAATCGCATGTATGGTGCATGCCATTCATCATGCCTAAATTTTTTTTTTTCGTAAACCATCACAGATAGCGATATTCATCAAGAGACAAAAAATGCTTGCAAGTAAACTGTCTATCAGTGTCTAAAAATTCAGAACCGTCAAAATAGTAGTTAAAAAGTTTTAGACCTCTTCAGATGTGGATGGTCAGTATTTTACCACCTACATAGCAACTACAATCAAAACGATGATATCACAAAGACCCTTTTTACATTAGACATTCACATCCCGAATTTCATTTTAATCGGCAAAACCATTTTCCGATAAAATAAAAATAACGATTTTTTTTTTAAATCTTTGGCGGTAGATAGCGCCTTACCGAAGCACTTTTGGATAGAGGTAAGTTGGGTTAAATCGTCCTATTTTGATACCAAGAACCCCTGGTAGCGCGTTGTACAGACCTTTTAGGGACACCCTGTATAGTTATTAATTAAACTAGATGCGCTGCCACTAAAACCTATGTGCTTTAAAATAGCTATAAGTATATTGTGTGAAATCCTGTCAAAAGCTTTTGAGTAATCCAAAAGAACAAGTACAGCCAGGTTGTTGTTATCAATGGCTCTCATAATGGCATCAGTAATATACGCAAGGGCGGTATTGCAACTATATCCGGGCCTGAAACCAGACTGCATTCGTGGAAGTATATTTCATAGTCCAAATAAGTTCTTATTTGAGACGCCATAATCTTTTCTACTACCTTGGACAGGCAAGGTAAGATGCTTATTGGACGGATGTCTTTAAATTCTCTAGGATCGTTTATCTTGGCTAATGGTATAACTTTGGCGACTTTCCAGCAATTAGGAAAAATGCCATCAACTAAACAGGAATTCACAATATGCGTAATAATGGGAGCCAAGTAAGGTAAGTATAACTTCCACATACACAGACTAATACCATCCCATCCGACGGAATTACTCTTAAGATTTAAGAACGTTTTTAAAACATCTACTTCAGTAACGAGACTAAAATTAAATTGAGTGGATGATGTTCTGAAAGCATTACTTGTATAATATTGAATAAGTGCGTTTTCATCAGATGTAACCGTCTCAGCTAAATTTATAAAAAAATCATTAATTTTATTTGCATCCCGAAGTTCATTGGGAAGTTCACGTTTGTGTGAGGAACTGATGCCAAGTTGCTTTAATTTTTTCCACATAGCCTTGGGAGTGTCGTGTCCTTGTTGCAGCTCGTACTCGAGGTACGCTTTTTTACCCAATCGGATTGCATTAGTGGTGAAATTGCGTAGCTGTTTATAATAACTCCAATGAGCGGGGTTTTTTGTCCTTTTAAATTTCGTTAAAGCTTTGTTTCGAAGGGATATCATTAGTTTAATGTTGTCTGTCAGCCAAGGTGCCGGGGGCTTAGTAATTTTTATTCTTCTACATTCAGCATGCTTATCGAATAGAGCTAATATATTATCGTTTAAAAAGTCTACCTTATCGTTAATATTAGGTAGAGTGTATGCACATTCCCAATCGATAAATTTAAGATCGTTGTCAAACTCAGTCAAATTAAAATTCCGAAAGTTTCGATAGGTATAGTAGAAAGGCTTATCAATTTTAGAATCATTTATAAGAAGTGTGCAGTAAACTAAATGATGGTCAGAGTAGTTATGCATGCTTAAAGTGCCCCATCTACTTACTTTAATGTCTGAGGAGATCACAATATAGTCAATTAGTGTACTGCTCTTTTGCATACACGTGTAGGTTCATTAATTATCTGTTTGTGATCAAAAATATGGAATAACGACAACATTTGCAAAGTTTGTGAGTCAGTACTCTTCAGATAATCAATATTGAAATCTCCTGTATAGAGTATATGGTTACCGTGGGTCATTAAAAGCGAGAGGGACTCCTCCAAGGCCTCAAAAAATCCAGCGTACGCACACTCCTGCCTTCTGTATATCACTCCCGTGACCAGTGTGAAATTATGTAACTTTAATACAATCCAAAGTTGCTCAAGGGCAATATGTAAGTTACTAGATACTGATTCTACAATTGAAAATGTTATCCCCTTTCTTATGTACATACCTACCCCTCCACCTCGTTTCTCACACACACGATCAGAACGTACAAAGGTGTAACCAAGAATATCGACGGCAATTGTGGATATTCGGGATGTCAACCACGTTTCTGTCACAGCAAGAACATCATATTTTTTAAAAATTAGCATCTCCTTCAGATCTGAAAAATTTGCCATTAGTGATCTTGTATTTAAATGAGCAATATCTAAACATCGAGTCATATCAAATCAATATCAAATCAATATACCCAATATAATAAACAGAACAAGAATCAGATCAGTAATGTTACAAACAGAATAATGTGCATAACAATTGAAATATTGATACATAAAATAAAGCAAGATTTCAATGTGCATTAAATGTTGGTTGGATACCTATATAAAATAAAAATAAAAAAAACTCTAATATTACAATATTAATACTTATTCTACAGACAAAAACAACAGAAGAGTAAACACGATCGTAGTCCATTTTTAAAGCGCACCAGATTTAACGCGAGCGATGTCACTATCCGAAGTGATTTCCGCAACTGGGCACTTTTCGTCCTTTCTCGCATAAATGTTTCCGTTTTTAGTCCACAGAAACTTAAATTTTAGATCTTTTTGTAACTGTCGCATTTTATACAGAAGTTGACGACGTTTCGGAGTAAGATTTTCGTTGATGTATATTACATCAGCAACGGTGAATCCAATATCTATAGCTGATAAATTCCGCATTACCTTGCGTTTGATTATTAAGTCATCTTTGGTGTATCGGTTCACAAATTTGCAAATTATCGGCTGGGACGTGTTAGACGATCTAGTGGGGAGTCTGTGACAGATGTCGATAGCATTCTTAGGAATATGCATGGATAAGGCTGTCCCTATTTGCTGTACTAATCCATAGACGTCTTCTCCTTTAACGAGGGGTACACCATGTATCTCGATAGTGTTGCGCCGTGTGTATTGTTCTAGCTTATCTATCTCAAAAACGCAAGAGGAAAGATTTTTGCGCAAATTACAGTTTTCATTTTTGAGCTGCTCAAGCGAATCGGAGTAAGCGTTAAGACGTAGGTTAATTTTGTTTAATTCATCACTGTTGGCGTCTAGTTTCTCATGACAGTAGTTAATTGATTTATTTAAATCATCTTCTCTCACTTGTTGTTTTTGGATAAAGTCTTTAAGTAAGTTCATTATATCGGAATTGGATGGGTCACCTGGGTTTTTACTTGCCATTTCTAACCTCTCACCTTGAGAACAAGTTGCGTACGCCATATCTGCGTATGAACTGTTTACGCCGTGTTTCGAGTTAGATTAATTTTAATTTTAGGCCTTTTGAAACTGCTTGCAGCCTTCTCTGTTGAGAGTAGATCCCAAATTTGAAGTTCAAAACACTTTAATTAATTAAATATAAACTGGATACAGGCCTTATCACACAAATTTTACGACGTACACACTTCACAAACAACTACTCGCGCGCCATATTTGATGATGACAATGATGATGACAATGATGACAATTTCATTGGCCAGAATTAATGCGAAGTCTCTGTTACATGGATAATATAATATTTTAGACATTTCTTCAAGATCAATTTAAGAACTAATTATTTACGTTTACAAATGAGTAACAAATAAAATATTGTACATTATACGCCAGGTAATAGTTTTTACTGGCTCTAGGAGATGACAGGCTCGCCTAACGGCTCGCCAGTTAACTTCTCCTATCGCCAGTAAAAACTCACTTACCTGGCTAATAATGTAAAATACTATTATTTCATATTGCGTTTTTTTCTATTAATACGATGAAATTGGAAATCAATTTTGATTAGAATGTTGTACACATTCAAACAAAAGCAAAAGTGATTTGTTTGATGAGATGTAGGGTACATATGGTCTTTCCAACTAACAGAGGTTTTAATGTAGGTAACAACCAAGGAGTTTACTTACATTAAGCAACTTGTTTTATAGTGGTGTTTGAAGATTTAAGTAAAAGTCCAGTAATATGCTCTATCATGAAACTGCTTGGAAGAGGTTTTTTGACGGTTTAAAGCTAAGTCATTTTTGGACAAAAACTGTTGCGTTGGGTCCAGTACCTGTGGTAACTTATTCGACATTACACTTGTTTCTGTCTATACAAAGAAAAGTGAAGTATCTACAATATCATCAATATCATTAATATAAAGTGAAAACAAAATTTGCCCTAAAACACTTCCTTGGGTTACACCTTTTGATATACTTAACTCATAGTAACATATTGTCTCCTATTATGCAAAAACGATTTTATGAGACATAACGTTTAGCACATTCGGGAAGATGTCACTCTTTGGTATCTTTGCTAGCACAGTATTTGTTCCATTCTGAGATTTAACCTCGGATTTAACCTTAATTATTTGACTGGGATGCATTGGAGTACATACTGTGGGACTGTAAACTAAAAGACAAGTTTAGATTCAAAATTCTCTATTTTTACATGGACGATTCCCAGCCGCCTTTTTGGATTTTGTGTAGGAGTGACATTTCTTAAACAATTTTTAATGCATGTTAAAGTATTTCCCAATCACATCATTCACATTCACAGTGATCCAACAGATTGATTCCGTCTGACAGCATTAGGCATTCCAGTGGGATGTACCTGTTTGGCTAGTCGCAATTTCTGCAAAACGTCTTCATACCGATACGTATTGATTGCGGTGCCACACTCAAGGAGATCAAAAGGCACAGGATCTCTGAAGTTATCGATGACTCCACCCGAAGTTGTGTGAACAGCTTTCACTTAGGCTTTCTGTGATTGAGAAGATTTGAGACGTTTTCATTGCAGACTTCCGTTTGATCTTGCGCTTGAAACGACGGCACCTAGTTCGTTTTACTTAATTTTCCCGTTTATGAAATATCGATTTACAGATTCCGTGTTACCCAATTATCAACACCCAAAGTTTAACTAACAAGCTATCTGGGATATTGTTCAATAAAGGCCTATTACAGGCGTTTTTATAACCCGATCACTTAATTGACGTATAAAAATGCATCCAAGCTAGTCGCGGCCATGTAATTAATAGTAGGTATAATACCTAATATGATGTGGGCTATAAAATGTAGTTAGATGACGTGCATCTACTAAACTACTAATTGCATTCAGGCACGCAATTATGCCAATTCGTTTTAATTTAATAATTGCCAATGCCACTTATTTGACACAGTGTATAGAGCTTTCGTATTTAGTAGTAGGTGTTCGGAAGTAGTCAGCCTAAAATTTGGTAGCTCTGCTGTTTTATGATAATTGATACAGTTTTAGATGTCGACATTTGAGGTGCTTAAATAATTGAAACTTCGCTTCAGTTCGAATGCAACCAAAAGATTGGTACCACTACGATTGCTTTTTTACTTTATTTTTAACTGCTAATGTCTAAAATTAGGTTAATAAAGCTATTAGAAGATAGCTTCAGTATACAAAGTAGTTATGTAACAGTTTAGTCCGATTCCGTTGCGTATGTACAACGTTGTTAAGGGATTTTAAATATTGATGAGTTTTGCTAAAAAGGTCAACATTTAGAGCACATTAAAGTACTTTAAAAATATGCAGGTCTATGTATTACACGTTAATGAAAAATGAAAACAAAAGTTTATTAGGGCTTCATGCTCGTCTGCCGCGTTGAATATTTAACGTTGTCCGTTCACCCAACCGTAAAGTTGTCCGTCAAACTTCGAGTTTCTAGTTTAAAAGAAAATACCATCTCGTTGGAAGGGAAAACGTGATGAAGGTTGAACTAAGATTTTTTGTGTAATTTATAGAAAAAAAGAAACCTTTCTACTTCGTCGCTGAAACGCAATTTACTTCAAAACGTAATTAATATCTAGTTATTTTTTGATCGAAATGATGGCCAATACAATTTACAAAGGAACTACCAACTACTTAGATATATGCATGGTAGTTTCTTTAAGTCAGTATACAGGGCGTTCAAAGTTAAGGCGGTAGGTACCTATAGGTAGGTACTATGGCTAACTTGCCACTTAGTTATTATAAGAGATTAAGAGATACCAGGGCGGTTAAATTTGAGAGCTAGTGTGTTTTTTACGCTAATTACAATGGTGAAAACAGAAAAACATTGACAGCCGCATTCTCAAAATATCGACCAAATCGCACTTTTTTCTAATCCAGTTGTAGGCTCGAATAGAATGAGCACTGCTGTGTCTCGTAACTTTTATGAGTTGCTCTTCGCCGACGTCCTGCTTTGCTAAATTGTTAGACCGCACTTGCTCTAATCGAATGATTGGTAACTTTAACTTTCTTTATGTCAATTCCAATCTAGCGGAAGCAGACATCCAGGATCCTCTCATTCCGTCCCACAGGCAAGTTTTCATACCATCCTCTAGAATTCTCATTTTACCAATTAGGATTTGATGTCAAATCAAAAGCAATTTTTTGCTTGGAATTAACTTCGTTCTTCTCTCCCGGAGTTTTCTAAATATTCTATGTACAAAAAAGAAAGAACTTGCTGCTTTATTAATATTATCAAAAAGATTTCAGTTACTTACCTAACTGGACAAATTTCACCCAATTTCTCCTTGGTTGTTGACTCTTCCAGCTTGTACTTCTATTCTTCGCAAAAGCTCGAAAACTGGCTCCATACCAAGCATTTACTTCGCTTCGTATTGGCAGGGACGGTATGGTCTATTGCTTCGTCTAGATTTTGAAAAGATTCAGTACTAAAACGTGATCTCAGATTTATTTTTATTTAACTACTTTGTTTATAAACAGGTTTCCTTGGATTTTTTTCAACATCAACTTGATAATTTCAAGCACATAGTTTGCTAAATATTTAAGAACAATTAATCAAAACTACTCATTTTCCAACTTTCCTCCCCCCTCTCAACGAAACCCGACGCTTGAAATGGTGTAACTTTTTACCAAACAATTTGTGGACTGTATAGAACAATTTGCAGTTGGAGGCAAACTTTTACTTAGGATGTTGAGGTTTGGGTCTAATTGCACTGTACTCTCGACTCGACTATCATTTCAAAATCTATGAGCGAGTTATTTTTAACAGACTTCTTTTTTTTTGGGACATTTTGTTGAAATTTATGGAAAAACTTTTCTTCTTTCCTTATTTTACAAGATTGTGATATTCTATTTTTAACGTATTAGTCAATGCCGTTTGTCTGTTTTGAAGAACGTGTTTCGCCTACTAGCGTCTGTCGAAGGAATCGAAAAATAATTTCCAGTATTTTCTCGTGGCAACATTTATAAAAAAAATTACCCCAACGCTTTATACATTAGATTATAGATTATAATAAATAATCAGTAATTATTTATGCATGTTACTCTTGGTGCGTGAACGCCGAAACGCCATCTGCTTTGACCCCAACAGAAAATGAATCGTAGCTTGTAAGCATTCCCATAAATTAAACATGCTCATTTTTATTAGGTAGGTAGGTACTATTATGGTCTGACTGAATCTTCCAAAATAAACTAAATGTAAAACCTAGAATAACGTTGTTCGCATGTTTCGTAGTGCACTGAAACTTAAATCAAGCTACGGATGTTGTTGCACGTTTGAGCTTTCGAGTCCATGACTCTGGAATTATTTAGTTAGCCTCATCTGCTTGTTTGTCATATCATAATTTGAAAGATAATTTGAAACTTGCTTTAAAGTTTAAAAGTTTTGGGGCAGAGTTGTGTAGGAGTAGATTATTACGTATAAGCGTCAAGATAAATTCGTGAATTATGAAAGTAAATCGTGTAAGCGCAACAAAGTAATTATCTGGCAGTTATTTACTATTGATAAATATGTGTGTTTTAGATAGGTTCTGAATTTCGCATTGCAAACGCGTTTGTTTCAGTTTCATGTACTTCACACAGAAACCAGAGAAAAATCGAAGTAGCTAACCTAGTTGTATAAATAGTGAATATTTTGGTAAAATATCTTTATTTAAAAATCCGCAAAGCCATTCATGGAGGCTTCTAAATGTATACAGCGAAACGATGGTTGCCAAATTGCCAAATTACTAGGACGATATTGTTATCAAATATGCAAAAAGCCTCCAGTGTCTCTATAGTAAGACAAAATAGAATTTAAAAACAAAGTAAATCATAAGTTGTATTTGTATGGTTTACTTTTGAAAGTAAAACATGCATTAATATGTACAGAGTGAGTCAACGATTGCGTGGAGTTACTTAATGCCTTGAAGATAAGATTTTTCGATAGAGTGCTTTTGTATTATGATATGGTTGAATATTCTCTACATTTTTAAAATATTTGGAATTATACAGGGTGCGCCCACAAAGTGGGGCGCCAAAATGGTACATTTTTTAAATAGAACCCCCTGTATTTGAATGCATTTTTGAATTTTACGTATAATTGTACGCCTTTTTTATTATATGGTTAATATCCGAAAAACTAGTAGTTTTAAAGATAATTCGATTTGTAAGAAAAATTGAGCATTTGCAAGCGTCAGTATATTGTCAAAATTATTACTTAAATTTTGATTCCAGGTGTTATATCTTTTATCCTGGGTTAAGTAAAAGTAAAATAAATACAAATAAATAAATTAAATAAGTTATATGTAATTTACATAATAGTGAGGTGACCATGCAAAAAAAGGAAATTTTTATCTGCATCGTTCAAAGCTAAAATCATATTTATTAATGCATTTTTCTAACAATTCATTTAAGTCTATAAAAACTGGAGAATAAATTTGATAGTAAAAACATAAACAAATATCTTTTTACTTTTTATATTTTACTCTGAAATAAGTTCTAATTTACATAATAACGAGGTGAATATGAAAAAAAATCTAATATCACTGACTGGATAACATTAGGAGTTAAATTAAATTTGCTTTGTAGTCAAATGTGTTTACTTATTCTCCGGTTTTTGGATTTAAAATAAATTGTTTGAATAATAAATTAATTGATATGATTTTCGTTTTGGACGAGATAGATAAAAACTGCCTTTTTTGCATGCCCAAAAGTTGAAGGTTTTTGGAGGAGCTAAATGATGACAGAAAAATATGCAGGGTGTTCCATTTAAATAAGTGAGATTTTTTAATATGAAGTTTTGCAACTTTGGACCTACCAAAAAAACACCCTGTAAGCTGTATTTTTAATGTTTCATAGTAGATGTATTTATTTGACTTTTACTTAATCCAGGACAGGACCCAGGATAAGATATAAAACCTGGAATCAAAATTTAAGTAATAATTTTGACAATATATAATGACGCTTGCAAACGCCCAATTTTTCTTAAAAATCGAATTATCTTTAAAACTACTAGTTTTCCGGATATTAACCATATAAGAAAAAAGACGTACAATTACACATAGAATTCAAAAATGCATTCAAATACAGGGAGTTCTATTTAAAAAAATGTACCATTTGGGCGCCCTACTGTGTGGGCGCACCCTGTATAATTCCAAATATTTTTAAAATGTGGAGAATATTTAACCATATCATAATACAAAAGCATTCTATCGAAAAATCTTATTCTCAAGGCATTAAGTTACTCCGCCCAATCGTTGACTCACCCTGTACATCAGTAAGTATAGGTTCTTCCCAAATTCGGCATGTTATTTTCTTAGTTTTGGGCCAATGTATACGAAAAGTTAATTTAAAGCTTTTTGGTGATAAATTAGGAAATGACTATACGAGGGGCAATTTTTTCCACCTTCGCAGAGTATAAAAGACAGCAATGTATATATACCAAAATAAACTTACTTATTACCAAAAGATACATGCATTTCAGGTTACTTTTCAACATAAAGTGTTTTTCAATATGGACGATCGAACTTTGACAGCGCATAGCAGTCATCTTGGTAAAAGCGGATTTTGTGCAGAAACTTTGGTTTTCATCCATATAAAGTTCAGTTCCCTAGTCTACGCAGACAAACCACAGTCAATTGCTGCCCTAAAGCGCAACATAACTCGCGTTCTTCGTGAAATTGAGCCCAGTTTATGCGAAGATGTCCAAAATTGGTACCAGAATGCAACATCTACAGCGGAGTCGCGGCCGCCATTTGGCTGAAATCATTTTCCATACATAATGCGATCGAATATCCTTTAAAATACGTAAAAAATTGTGGTAATATCACTTAAACATCAGTTTGTTTTATTTAATTTCAAAGTTCTAGTGCTCCCTTTACTTACTGTTTTGATTGATTTGTAATACCGGTGCAAAAGCATTCCAATGGCCTCTTCAAGGAACGTGCTCGCTAGTGCGTTGTGAAGATGTGCCTTCACAGCGTTTTGAAGCTCGTATACGAATACGAAAGTCACCCCAGGTTTCAGTGGGAGATTTTATATCATCAGCTTATTGGCGCGACAGAGCGTTGAGTAACTTTCACTTTTACCAGAGCTAAAGAAGTAAGCTAGAAGAACAGACATTCTAAACCGACACGAGCCTCAAGATGCCGTGAAAACCCATTTCAGTTACTGGCAGCAACTTTCTTTTGAAGAGGATATTGCAAAGCTTGTTCACTAGTATAACAAATACCCAATCAAAACGGTAATTATGCTCAAAATTAATTGAGGGTGTATGTAATTTTGGGTAATAATTTTATTTTATTTTACACATTATTTTAATTTTTATAGCTTACCTATCGGAGGTAGAAAAAAAAGGACCCTCGTATATTATTAATATGGTCGTAAAATTGTTGGATTGCAAGGTGTTGGGAATTATCTCTGAGAAGAATTCATATTGTTTCGAAGAATTTACACCAAATAGGATTTAAACCTCATAAGTTTAATTGTAACAGTTTAGGTAAATTGGTTCCATTACTTCCAATGAAGCGAAACATGTAGTTTATAGAGAAACAATAAATCACTGTAGTTACGTGAATGGATTCATTATTTGTCACAAATAGGTACATAAATAACCTCTTAAAATCAGAAAACATACAATGACTTAAACTTTGTGCAAATGTGATAAACTTGTTTAACTCTGAGGATAACCACAAGACCACCAGAATCATGAAATTAATAAAAATTATTTCGACCCACACCTGAAAAACTCCATTATTATTATTATTATCGTAGTAATTGTTACACCTAAGCGATTGAAAACCGAAAAAACCATTTTCCACATATACCTACCGACAAAGTGAGTTCATACCGTGTTTGCAAGAACCACTATGTATTCTTGTGCTGGGCTAACTACAACTGACTAGCATAGACCAGATGTATCCTGGACCTGCACTGATTGCACAAACATGAGACTAGCTATAACTGGACTGAAAGCTGTTATTGTACGACTGAAGGAGGAAGTTGCTAACGTTAAGGCTAATTTTGGTGTAAATCCATCGATAGTTACGCATTTGAAGATATTTTACAAGAATTAGATGACCAACATAGACGCAAACGAAAGTTTTTGGAGTAGGTTCCGACCTGCACAGGACTGATCGTGCGGTTAAAGACACCGCAACAGTAAATTCCATTATAACTCTCCTGTGCCCAACTCCAAGTTCCTACACCAAAGAGATAAAAATTATTTCGTCTTGGTAAGTTGGATGTTGGAAGATCTCGTTCTAAATCGATACAGAATGTTTTTTTTCTAATGAACTGCTTGTAAGTTGTAATAGCATACGTAATTCCATTGTCAATGTCAACATTTCGTCAGATAAAACTCCCAAGCAACTTGACTATTATAGACTGCTTAAATAGTTATTTATATAACAAGAGCGCGAAGTTCA